ATCAGAAATTAGGGACTGATTCGAAAATGAGGATTGAAAGGTAGTGATCAATCTCAAAAGGGAGTGTCGGAAGGTAAAGATCGACCTCAAAAGTAGTGAATTAGAAATTAGGGACTGATTTGAAAATGAGGATTTAAAGGTAGTGATCAATCTTAAGAGGGAGCGTCGGAAGGTAAGGACCGACCTCAAAAGTAGTGAATTAGAAATTAGGTACTGATTTGAAAATGAGGATTGAAAGGCAGTGATAAATCTTAAAAGGGAGTGTCAAAATTTAAGGGTCAACCTCAAAAGTAGTGAATCAGAAATTAGGGACTGATCCAAAAATGAGACCAAAAATGAGAGTTGAAAGCAAAAATGAGAGTTGAAAGGTAGGGATCAATCTCAAGAGAGAGTTTCGGAAGGTAAGGACCGACCTACAAAGTAGTGAATCAGAAGTTAAGGACTGATTCGAAAATGCAAGTTCTACAGAGTTTGTAGTGTTTAATTCAAATACATGTGTCATATGTAAAGGTTGACATTGTTTAAAAGGATTTGTGGAAATTTGCGAGTTTTTGCGCAGATTGGGAAATTCCACGGGGATGTGAAGAGAATTAGTGTAGACAAAGATAGTTGTGTCGCACGAGCAAAGAGTAAGAGACCTCAAAATCGAGAGAATCCACTCAACAGATTTATTTTCTTTTCTTGTTGTTTTTATCACATTTAATTTTTCAAAATATGTTTTCAAAATTTGATTTTAGTTGGTTGATTTTTCAAAAGAGAGTTGTTTTATTGTTTGTTTATTGGTTATTTTTTTTTAAATTTTATTATCGTTAAATTTTTGTTTTTTCTTTTGTTCTTTGTTCATTGTAATTTAGAACCAACGTGTGGTTCATGGCTTCCATCCATCGCACAAAAGACAATTGACAAAAAGATACATTTATAAGTGAAACTTCAGTAATCTGTTCCAACGAAATGTTACAGATCAAGTGTAGGCCAACGCCTCAAAATGTACAATATGGAAAATGCATCAAAGTACATCCAAAATATCTCACGCCAACTACACATCATAGGCTGAGCATCTCTGATACATATCACATTGCTGTACTGTAGTAAAGTAGAAAGGAATCATCTGACTGTCTATTGAGCTCCTAATTGAGCCGACCTTCTAAGCCACGCTACAGGACAAGAGTTCCCTTTGCATGTGCTTAGAGGTGCAACCCTCTCATAGCTCGTAAGGTAGTAGTTCCTCCAGCTCTGGATCTGGTTAAAATCCATATAAAATTTTGTTGTTGTTCATCCGTTGGAAAGTCACAGACACCCTGCAGTGTCGCACTCCTGGAATACAATGCTTGACAACGTTTGCACCGTTGCCTTTGAGAACAAGCACTGAGCCAACTGGTAGGGAAATCTCCACAGAGCTTCTGAACTCACCAGGGACGATGATGTCAATTTCTTTCCCAAATAAGATGTTGCGTTTACTTATGAATAAGACCGTACAAAAAGGCCTCACAAAGTCATGGTGATCGATGTGTGGAGGAATGCAATCACCCTCATTAATCACCCTCGTCGTAGATGTTGATAATACAACTATTTGGAATACAGGTAGCGGGTAGAATATTCCATCTGACCATGCTTTTGATCATCAACTTTATTATTAAAGATAGTGGATCTACTTGATTGTGTCTGAAGATCCTATGCGGATTCCCTTGTCTATCATTTGTGAAGTTGTAGCAGCAGGCACACTGGATAGTAATCCTCCCTTTTCCTTGCATCCTCCTCACATCCATTTTCTCAGCTCAGAATAGGTCCTTTCCATAAGTGAACCTGCTCGACCTCTGTCCCTTAGGTAAAAAATGCAGTTAAGAAGACTTTGTTCGCCAGTCTCTGAGAAGACTCTGGTATACAGTTCTAATCCCTCCAGTATGTTGATGAATTTTCCGATACTTCTTTGTAGAATTCGAAGTCTCTTTTATTTATTTTGCTCATTTTATAATATTTCACTGTACTGGGAGTCGGCAGTTTTCACGGGTATTCTCTCATTTGAATATCAGCGGGAAAACAAGCTGGTGTTGTCTCTAGCTCTAACGAAATGTATGATTTTGCGTCTGACAGGACGTTTGGCTCTGTACCCCTCGGAACATACGACTCTGCATCCATTGGGACATATGGCTCTGCCTTTATCAGGTAATCAGTGGTCTGAGATCCATCATCGGTAGATGCATATTCCTCTAATGTGTTGTAGTGTTGTAGATGTAGGACATTGCAGTCCGGGCACTCCACGAATGCCCCTATAGCTGACGCTCGTGCAGGTATTTCGACATTGTAGGTAGGGCAACCCGTACATAGAACATCTGAAACTGATAGTATCTTTGGCTTTGTAACAAACTCAAACTCCTCATCCGTAGCAGGCTGGCTAGAGGAGGTCTCTTTCATGCCCGGATCATAAATGTGTCCCTCAGTAATAGGAGTGAGTTGTCTGCCTCTTTTTGGCGTCTCTTCTCTTCTCGTACGAAAGCTCTCTATTTTTGTCGGCCAGTGTTCTTCGTTGTGTTCTTCGTAGTGGAGCAAATGGTATCCTTTCATTATCAGCAGCAACTAAGCCCAAATTCGGCGTAGCTATCATGAATGGTAAACGGCTGGGCCTCTCCATCAGGTCATGTTGTACCATCACGTTCTTTCCTTTCAGTGACACACTGTTTTTGACGGCCACCCTTAGTAGTGATGGCAGCCCTTCCTTTTCTCATTGACTGACAAAATTCATTAAAGAACCCTCGTAATCCATGCCGACTTGGTTAAATTCCATGTCAAAATCTATAGTGCCGCCCTGCAACGCCATTTCTTCATTTAGGGTCCGTTTGGGGCAGCTTGTGTGTTTCAGGATAAGCTGCTTATCCTGAAACGCGGCCCGCGGGCCGACTACAAAGGTCGACCTGTGGCCCGGTCGACCTGGCGACCCGCGTTTAGTGTAAAAACTCAAACGCAGTTTCGGATAAGCTGGCGAAACACGCGAACCAAACGGTACGACAACCAAACGGTATAACGGCGTTTTCGAAACGCCGCCCACACTTATAAGCTGCCCCAAACGGACCCTTAGTGAGAGATTCCAACCATCTTTAAAGGCGAACATCAGCCTCTGGCCTGACATTTTTTCTGTCGTCTGCAGACGACAGAAAAAATGTCAGGCCAGAGGCTGGTGTTTCCCTTTTAAGAAAAAATGTCAGTGGGCTGAAACTTAGCGTGAACAAGAACAAAACAAAGTATTTATTAAAGAAAATTTTAGTTTATGAAGAGATTGTTTATTTATGTGTGAATTTTATTTAATTTAGTAGCATATTAAGTTTGAAAAGAGAAAATTGAAGTGTGTAATTTTTAAAAATTTTTATTATGTTGAGGTTAATTTTGTTACAAAAATTTTGGACCCGGTCACAGACGTTTGACCACATAGATAACCCTAAAACAATCAAAATTTCAAATCAAGCGAATGTAAGTAGTATCAAGTTGTGTAGTATGTCTTCAGGTATCATCCGTTGATTGGTAGCATGGGTCTTTCACCCCAGAAATATGCTAACTAGTAGGCTCCTCCTACGTAAACCTTTTCAATGACAAATAGTCCCTCCCAAGTTCGCTTGAATTTTCCACCTATCTTGCAGCGTACAAGAATAGGCCTTTTGAGCACGAGGACGAGGTCACCAACTTTGAATGTACTTGGGCGGGTCAATTTGTCATGAGCTTGTACCATCTTTTCCTGGTAAAGTTTCAAATGTTGTTGTGCTTCAAGTCGTTTTCCTTCGTTTTCCTTCCAGACTTTCCTTCCAGACTCTCTAGTTCCTCGAGCCTGAGCTTTGCACTTTCTTCTGTTGTAAGTTGGTTGACAACAACAACTCTGAGAGAAGACGTCTGAATTTTTAGTGGTAGTTCGGCCTCGGAGCCGTACACGAGCATGTAGGGTGTACACTAAGTGAGAGTCCTGAACATCATCTGGTAGACCTACAAAGCTTCTAAAAATTTGTTGTGCCAATCTCTTTTGCTTTTGTCCAGCGTTTTCTTTAAAATTTGTACCAATGTTTTATTGAAGGCTTCAGCCAATCCATTTGCTCTGGGATAGTAAAGATCGGAGTGTAAAGGATAATTTCTAATTATCGAATCACTATCCCACTCACACTAGATATACACCAGGGGTGGGGGTTGTTAGCGAGTCATAGAGCATAAGACATTTTGGTGTGAGGGATAATGTCTAACAACAAAGCCACCATCTCATCAGGAATAGATTTACACCCTGGGCCAATTATATAGTTTTAGAAAAACAGGCGAGAAATATATTGATTAAAAAATAGAAAAGTTTACATTCAAACCAAACAATTTTTGTATAACTTTTAGCGAGTCATAGAGCAGAAGACATTTTGGTGTGAGGTTGTTTAATAGCTGAGCCACCATCTCTTCCGTAATAGATATACACCCTCGACAAATATATAGTTATAGAAAAAAAGCATGAGAAATATAATGCTAAAAAAGGAAATTTTACATTTAACACCTTAAGCTCCATACTTATAGTTGTAACACTTTGTGTTATATGCCTATGTATGACAAGATATGTTTCAATGTTCCAATCTTAGTAAAAAGTATACTTTTGATGTGATGCAAATATGAATGTTTACATGTTAGATATATGAAAACATAAGGCTTGTGAGGCTTGTATATTAAAAATTTGACAAATTTAAAAATTAAGAAATTTATTTTAAAGCAAGCATAATATTTATGAATATTAAATTATAATCGAAATTGCATTACCGTAAAATAAATTTCATAAATTTCAAATTCAACCAAATAAAAAGATTAAAAATATTTTGACACAAATTTCTCTTTTGTATAATTATGCGGGCAGATTTAATGATTGGAAGAATTTCATAAATACTACTCAATTCCTATGCATTTACATATCTATCACCCAAAATCCATATTTTACATTTCTACCATACCATATCCGACCCCCTCCCCATTTTCTCCTATAAAATCCGAGGCACCCAGCCCTCCACCTCCTTTCACAGTCCAACCCTCCCCGAAAACCATGGCCAATCTCCTTCTCACCACCCTTCTCCTCTCTCTCCTAACCCTCTCCCTCATGCTCCCCGCCCACTCCTGCCCCACCTGCCCCAACTCATCTCCACCTCCCCCCAAACCCAAACCCAAACCCAAACCCAAACCCAAACCCAAACCCAAACCCACGCCCACTGTTCCCTGCCCTCCCCCGCCTTACAAACCCTATCATCCCCCGCCCTCCAACCAATGCCCCATCGACGTCCTCAAACTAGACGCCTGCGTCGACGTGCTCGGCGACTTGGTGCACGTCCTGCTCGGCAACAGCGCCACCACGACTTGCTGCCCAGTTATTAAGGGACTCGCCGATCTCGACGCCGGTCTCTGCCTTTGCACTGCCATCAAAGCCAAGCTTCTCAATATAGATGTGTTTCTTCCCATTGCTTTAGAGGTACTTATCGACTGTGGCAAACGCCTGCCGTCCGATTATACGTGCCCGGCCTGATTTCAAAATTATTAGGTCCGGTTTCTTTGTTATCCTATTTTTTTTTTAAGTTTTGTTTGTACTTGTGGTCTCTGTGTTGTGAGCCAGTGTAATTTGTAAGTTTGGTAGTTACTTTGTTGCTTCTGTTGTTTTCATTAGAAAGCTTAGAAGCTGTAATATTTCCTTGTCTGGGAAATAAAATAAAATTTTAACATATGTAATTCCTAAGATGTGTTGATGAATTTTCTTATTATATATGTGCATATATTAACGCGCAAATCATAGAAAAATTATCTTTTTATTTTTATTTTAAAAAACAAAAAAATAATGCAATGTATTTTGTGAGCTTTTGTGCTTGTTTATGAAAAATATACCTTGGCAGGTCTCGATTTAATGATTTTTTTTTTTTGAAAATAAAAATTTATATATTTAAATTCTGTCAAATGGTACAAAATTTTCTTTTCAATTTTTTTTATTATGATTCATACAGTAGAGTAGTAGAAAATATGCATGCTTGTATCAAGATCAAGCTGTGACACCCCATTTCGTATTTTACAGAAATAAAAACTTTAGTAAAGGCATAAAAAGATAATCTGATTATAGAATAATTCTATCTATATTAATTATAAAGTAAGCAATGTGATTTTTATTTGACAAAATATTATTGTTTTGAAATTGTGTTTTAAAGTAAAGCTTTCAATGACAAGAAAAAAATATTACATTGGGACTCCGCACGCAGAGTTACGTGCGGAGTTCCATGAAATCACGCCACACACGTGATTGTGGGAAAAAAAATTTGCCCGGTAACACAAGGGAATATTCCTCCCGTGTTATTCAGGTGTTATTGTGTGTTATTCAAGTGTTATTGATGTGTTATTGTGTTATTATAACACCAGAAATATTCTCAGAATATTCTCAGAACACAATAACACATGAATAACATACAATAACAGCTGAATAACACGGGGAGAATATTTCTTTATGGCGTGATTTCATTGGACTCCGCACGTAACTCTACATGCGGAGTCCTGATGTAATATTTTTTCCAATGACTAGACGTTTAATATTTTATTTGTACTTGGAGCTCTTTTGGTGAAATGTATATTAAAACTAACACGAACTATACATCGTGGTTTTGAAATGTTGTACTTTTATAAACAACTTGACCAATTTGATTGAAGTTAATCCTTCTTTGGAATTTAATTCTATTTTTCAATCAAAAAGTAATCTAGTACTAAATTTAATAATTTTTTTTAACTATAAAACAAAAAAATTTTAAAAGAACTAAAATAATTTACATTAAACTTAATTTTCAATTATGTTTTATCAAAATATTTAAAATATGAAAAATCTACATTTTTTTGAGAACGTGTATTCTGCTTTGTGGAAGCCAAGACAATTTTGATTCTCTGAAAATGTTGGCTGCATGCGTACATATGAAGGATGTTGCTGTAGATCGTATCGACGCCTCGAAGTGTCATTGAAATTTATGACCAAATTTATAAAACAATTATTGCTTAACAGTAACTTTTTTATTTGTTTTTCTGGGAGGTAATGGCTTTTTGTTTTGAGCTTGGATTAGAGATAATATCCCCTATCATGAAGGGCGTAAAAGAAGTTTTTGTTAGAAGTGCAATCAAATTAAATTGACGTTTGAGTTTCCTTTAGCTTGGCTGAAGAAATAGCTCATGAGATGAGCTTGTTGAGTGTTGGAAATTTCATAGAGATAAAATGAGAAACATGATAATCTTACAAGGAAATAATTAGCACAAGAGATGCAAAATATTTTATGTGAAAAATATAATGGAGCGTAGGCTAGATGAAATGATTCACTTTTTATATAAATTTACATAATTTTTCTTTTTTCATCAAAGATAACAAGATGAGATTACATACGAATGTAACATGTGTCTGAAAGAAATGTAACATGAGAGGAGGCCGAAATCAAACACTTGTATCCTCGCTTATTTGATGAACTTCATAAATTTTGAGGAAAATTTTTTTGGATATGTAAGATACTAATAATAGTAGTAGTACTAAATCTATTATAAATATTTAAAAATATATTCATATTTGATAGGATGAGAAGATTTTTTTATATTATTAGTCATTAGTTGTAAGAATAATGAAAAGGTAAAGTTGTTCTATAAAAATGTCCGACGCACAAAATTATAGCATTGCTCCTCGTTTTTGTATGCTTTACATATTCTTTTAGTTGAATTAGACAAAGTCACCAAATTAAAAGTTAAAGAACATTTTGTTACCTTTTCATAAAATATAAGATATAATTCTTAAATAAGAAATAAGAATGTTATGATCAAAATACTGAGAGGCCATTCATTTAACCAAAAATCTTTAGAGTTATAAGTGTGCTCTTGATATTTATAGTTTTTGGTTATCTTAATGACCTAATTGAATAGAATTATCAATATAAAAGTTGTGGAAAATTATTTTAGGTTTCCATGTCATATAACAATAAAAAATTTCAATATAAAATAAGAAAATTAATATTGAAGTACTACAAGTTGGTCAGCTTAACAGAAACTACAAACTAATGTTAATTGTTAAGTATAATTATCTATGTTTAACATAAATTAAAATGAATGGATAAAATTTCTTATATTTATGATATATATATATTAAATCATACTTTTATAATCTTATAATAATATAAAGTATATGATAAAATAAAAGTGAGAGCGGCACGAGCATAGTGAAAGGGCTCAAGGAGGCTGGTGATTAGTTTGAATGGCTGACGAGATAATTAAGAAGGGTGTTAGCAATAATTTTTTTTATCTTATACCTTAAGGATGTTCATTTGAGACAATAATATTACAAACTACATGTAGATAGTGTCCCATAGCTCATAGGTCTTTGATGCCTCTGGCATCATGATGAAGATTCTGCTTGGGCACACACGGGCCCAAGTCCTAGCGTTCACTCACCAGGGCATGTCTAGCACAAACACGCCAGACCTGTGCTACTCCCGCATTACAAAACTGAAAAAGCAGGGAACCCACACTGGGTTTTCGGTGCGCCTGCAGTATACTTGCTACACCCATACTAAGGTTGATAAGCGTAAGAATGTTGCCTTCGAGCTTAGCCTGCTTTATGCCCTTTGGGTCCAGTTGCCACCACCGTGATCCTGGCCCACCCATGTTAGACGTAGATTTGTTTTGACTTTAGTTGGCACGCCTTGGCCTAACCTAGACACTTAGGGACTAGTTTGGTCGTTGCTAGCTGGGAAGTGCTCCATGGCTACCCCCTCTACAGGAGGGGCTTTGCATGCTAAGCACATGAGGGGCAAAACTGTTCTTTCATATTTCATTTACCATTTTGGGGAGCGAAGATCAAGGGGGCAGCCATCCTATTATGGGGAGAATCTTTTGAGATGTGGAGGGGCTAATGTCTTTAGGTAGAGAGGAGATTTTCCGGGCATCATTGGCATTACGGAGAGCTTGATGAGGGACTTGGTGGACTTCATGGAGAGGAGGTTTTTTCAATTTAGCATACCTCTTCTTCTTCTGTTATCTTCTTCTCATATCTTTTTCTCATTCAACTTCTTCTTCTTCTCCATTTCCATCTCATCTTATCTTTAAAGGTGAGTGTGGGAGATTCCTTAAGTATTCTTGGGCTTTTCTTGAGAATGTGTGCTTCATCTTCACTTTCGACATGAAAGGAGCAGGGAGCATGCAAAGGGCACATGACTTCAACCATCATGAAGGTAAAGGTCTCCAAACCCTTATTCTTCCTTTTCATCAAACTCCTTAGGCTTTGTGTTAGAGTTGTTTGGTTTAAGCTGATCTGAGAAGAAGCCCCATAGGTTAGGAAGATTTCCTTTAGTTTCCCCTATTCCATGAGCTCTTCCCTTACCCTAGCTAAGAATATCCTAAATATACCAGATTGTAGTAATCAAGCATTTGAGTCACTGATCCATTTCCTTAATAAAGGAATCCATTCAAGCCTGAGCAATAGACATCCTTAAAACCCTTATGTTCCCTATGCTTTGGAGCTTTTTCTCCACGTAAGCCCCACTTTTTTGTGTCCAATAATTGGAGGTGGGCCTTATGTCACTTCAAATGATAAATGGTTAGCACACCTCGCCATCGTCAAGCCCAAATTCTAGAATGGTCCTTACGGTATGTCATTTTCAGCATCCAATTTGGTTGGGTCATTTTACATGGGCTCATCTTCATTTTCATGCACATTTGGTAATTTTATTGTGTAGCTCAATTTGTTCTTTCAGAACAAAGTCATGAAACTTGTGCATTTAAACATTATATATTTGGATATTTAAATACGTATGAATTTAAATGTCGCATATGGTCTGCGACATGGCATTGAAATGCATGCAAAAAGTATTTTGACTTCTGTATTTTCAAATCAATGCTTGAGAAAACACGTCAGGCGTGGTGCCTATGTTTTTTCTTTTATTTTGCGAAAATATGCTTGGCATGATGCTCTTATTTCCATGTGTGTGAAATTATATCCTTGGCTTAATGACTTTTGTGTGATATCCATCATATTCGACCCAAGTATGCTTTTAGCATTTGACATGCACGTTGTGTCTCGTTGAGCACCGGCACTCGTAGTATCTTTGTAAACATACTTGAACATATGTGCATTTTTAGGTATTTGTATATCTCGTGAGGAGGTGGTTAACATATAAAGCCTACTAGATACATGATTCTCCTTAATTATAATTGCACTACCTCTTCCCTAGGGCACTACCTAAAAATGTCCAAGCTATATCACAATGTGTCATTTAGTATGAGCCATGCTACCTAGCTCCTAAACTTGTTTAGCACACAATGTTTGTTCAGAAAGGTGTATGACCCTTACTTAGTATGACAAGCACCACTAACCTGTATGGCATCACTAGCAATTGTCATATGTCTGCCATTTGCAATGAGCATGTAATGAATTGCTTTTCCAAGTCATTTACATGTGCACATTTGATCTCCTCTTGAGTAGCCCCTTGGGATGTCCCATACCAGAGGCGATCAAGCACAATATCATTTGTATATGTTGGGTTGTATAGTTCAGCGTCCATTTTTCATTTTCATGAGCTATCCGTGTAGGAACTTACATGTGTACCCAAATTTCATGTTATACAGCACCCGAATTTCTCCTAGGGTGTCCTATACCGGTGCACCCTTATTTCATGCTATATAGATGTTGCATCTTACATGCGCACCTGCACTCGTGCTAATTTTTTCACATAGAATAAATCATCATATGCTAATAATGAGT